TAATGTACCCTTAAAAATACAACAATTTTTTTTATAAATTATTGTAAATTAGGTTCAACCCACACTTTAACAAATTTCAATATATTACCTTAATTTATCATTCATTTTAATGACAAAACCCAATATTCATTATGCAATTTAAGTCTAACTTAACTGCTTAACACATTTGCCATTTAATATTGTAAAGAAAAAAAATCATATGATAAATTTTTATAAATTATTGTAAATTGAGATGAGGGAAGAATTTTTTTTTCTCCTTCAAAAAATCATTATGGGGATGGGGAGTGCTCTTTGATTGTGTGGGGCCCTACTACCATTGCCAATATCTCCATATTAATAATTAAAATGTTCATGCTCATTGAGAATTTGAAACAAAATAATCCTTATTGTGAATACTGAGAATATTATTGTTTATTTTATTGGTTGATTAAGATTTGACACTAATGCCTTTATTGGTTTGAGGGAGAGGAGAGGAAAAGAAGCTTTTCTATTTGGATAATAAAAATTGGAGAGGAAATAAGAGGAAGTGAGGGGTTTTTCCTTCCTTTATTATTATTATTATTATTATTATTATTATTTTACATCTTAGTTTAACCAAATGAGGGGAGGGGACTTTGTTTCCCTTAAACCAAACATAAGGTGAATTTATGTGTAATACCCCAAAATTTTTGGAATTTTTAACATTAAGTTAAGGACTTCTATGAGAAGAAATATTATTTTGGGCTTAATAGCCAACATTCCCAAACTAGAGGGACTTAAAAGAGGATAAATTTGGGTAAGGATGGCTTATTTCTTTTTCTTTTTCTTTCTTTCTTTACTTCCTCTTCCAGCCCGCGTGTTATGCTCTCCTTTTCTTCCCCCTGCAACCAGCCGAAAACCCCAGCTGCTGCCACCCATTTCCGGCTGCTGCCACCCATTTCCGGCTGAAAAACCGGTAGGAAGCTTGGGATTTCTCCTTATTTTCTTGTTCTAGGACTGGAAGTGAACCCAGAAATCCTTCCCCCCTGCAGGATTTCCGGATCTGCTCTGCTTGTCCGTCCGTTGCTGCTGCTAGGCCCGAAATTCTGGGCATTTTTCTAGTAAGAACAGCCCCTAATTCCTTTGTTCTTCCTTGAATTGGTTTGGGTTTTCTTTAATTCCTCTTGGTTCTTGAATTTTGGGTTAAAGCCGTGAGTCCCCTGCAAATTGCCGCTGGCCCTCCCCAAGCCACAGCTCCGGTTCTTGCTGGATTTATGGTATGTGACAGCCCCTTTAAGCTTAAAATTACCCATTAGTTGCTAAGTTGTCCATGAATTATTGCTGGCTGTGTTGTCCGAATTTGACACAGAATTGGGGAGGAATTCCGGTAGTTTTAGGACAAATTTAAGCATTAATTTAAGTGGGATTTATGTGATTGAGTGTTAATTGACTGCTATGAGATTTTGGAGAAAATCCCGTGGGAATAGGCTATGGTTTTGCCAATTTTGGAAGTGGGAGTTACTGTTCACGTCGTGGTTACTGTTCACGGCACTGTTTACGGGTACGGTTCATACACCGAGGGTCAACAATTAATGGGGAATTAAATGATTAGTTTGTGATATAAGAACGAATTTGGAGATATCTGATAATATGGAGATTTATAGAAATAGCATCGTGATTAAGGGTAGTCTCAATTATGATTTCAGTGTGAATTTGTGATAGTACGGTATTAATTCTCGGATATTTTGATTAGGTTCTCGATCGTTCTGTCAATTAGCACTGAGATCGAGTTTTCGGTTTTATGCGAGTGAGGTAAGTAGATTATGGTAATGCCCTTCGACTTTAAAACATGTTTTGATTTGTTTTTGAAGTGGTGACGGAACTAAACCCATTTTATACAAAATAAGTATGATTGATTTGAACTGAAAATTTTTATGATTTTTATGAACTTGAGCATGCCTACTTGAAGTTCATTTGATTGTTCTGATGATTTGAAAGTTATTTGTAAAGAATGATTTTCTGTTAACCTCTGCCTGTTTTGTCTTCGATGTGGTTATGTTATTGATGATCCTGCTAGTGGGGGTTAAACGCTAGCATATGTCGACATGTTATTGATAGAACCGGTTCGTTCGAATGACCCTGCTAGTGGGGGTTAAACACCAACAAATAGTGTAGCCTGCCAGTGGGAGGTTTAAACACTGGCCATGACCTATAGAGGAAACATCTATTTCGTTTCCGTACTGTATCCATTTTTCGTAATTGCACATGTTGGCATGCTATAAATTTAATAAGGGGCACTCCATATTTACTTACTGAGTTTATCTCATAGTTTTTCCTTGTCCACCATTTTAGGAAGCAAAACCGAGGACGGGGAAACCACGAGAAGTGACGGATTAGAAGGCTAGCCATTTCGAGATTGATATAGATTTTAGATATAGATCATGATCTTGTAAACTAGAATGTATTTGGAGATTTTATGATATTAGAGCAGATTTTAAGATTTGATCTTCAGATTTTGATGGTATCAGATTGTGAATTGGATAAGTTCTGAGCCTTGTGCATTTGTGGGACCCTCTCACGAGTGCACGGCGTCTGCCACATCCCCGGATTTAGGTTTTGGGGCATGACAATATGGATGATTCTCTTATTTCAAAATTCTTTAGATTGCTTTGTTTTCATTCATTATTTGGGAAATTTAGTAACAAAAAGGTGAAAAGCTTTATGAAGATTCCTATTTTCAAGATTCTAAATAACTTTCTCTTACTATTTATAAAACTATTGAGTTTTAATCAAAATTTCCTATTTAGTTTGATTTTTCTAATAGGCAACTTGATATGTTTTGCTAGCATAAACCTCCTCTATATTTTGTTAAAGATTAATGTTGTGGGGGTTGCCTTTCTCAAACCTATTGGCAAAAGAGGGATCTTAAAAGATCATAATAATAATTAGATTATGGGTTTAGCTAAGAATATATGCATTACTAATAAAGTAAGTGTTAAGTTTTAAGACATAAAGGATGATTTCTAACTTTATTATTTCCAAGGGATTTTTTAAAATTAATATTGAGTTTGATTCTTTTTATGATATTTAATTAGTGTTTGCCAATGTCTTTAACATTTTGAATTGTAGAGGACTCATGAGAAATTTTGTGCTAACTCAACACTACAACATGTTGATAAGGATAGCCATATGTGTATTAACCAACTTCTCAAGATGGGAGCATCACTTTCTTTAATTTTTGTTGTTTTTGATAAATGTCCATCTCTTATGATTACATTTTATTTTACTTATGTACTAGGGGTTCACTTTCTTGAACCACCCTAATGAACACTTTTTTGTTGTACTAAGATAATTTTATCTTTTTTTCCTCAAAAAGAAGAAAAAAAATAAGTAATAACTTCTTTTTTTCCAAGACATTAGTATTCCTTATTTCTATTTCAAATGTTTAATTAATAGTATGTTTGGGTTGAGGGGAGGGGAATATTTTTTGACCAATCAAATTACAATATTTAAAAAAATGTTATAATTTAATTTATCAAAAAATATTTTCCTCCCCTTTTACCAAAGTCCATAGACTCTCAAAAATTCAAATTTAAGTTATTAGTAGTGATTGGTTTCCACAATTATACACTAGGCTTACCCACAAGTCTCCACTAATGCAGGATTCAAAGCCTTACACCTCTATTTCCCTCAACCCAAATATATTGTAAGTTTTTTTTTCTTTGTTTTTAATATTATAGAAATCCTTTTATTTGTATAAAAATGCAAATGATGCTTTAAATTAATACATGAAAATAAGTATAAGTACAGATGGAAAGTTTTTTTCATAATTTTTTTACTAGAAAACATTGATATATATGAAAAAATTACACATATATTTAACATTTACTTTTAATTTATATTCAATTTTTTAACAATAAACAATATTTTATATAAAAAATAAAATTCATAAAATTAAAAATATAAGTTATTACATTGTATGTTCTCGTGTGAGGGCACGATCTAGTGTGGGATTTAGGGCATTACAACCTCCTTCATTTAAACGCTTGATGATCTCATCAAACCCAAGCACAATCAAAACTAAGCCCATTGACCCACAAGCACAATCAAAACTAGCCTCACTGGCCTATAAGCACAAGATTTACTTTCAGTGATATGGGATTCACATTACCACTAGCCATGATAATCAACATGTGCCCAGGCATAAGACAAGTGACCTTTGATACCACTTGAAACAACTAAGGTTGAAACCTGCTACTAGTCTAACAACTCTTTAGGTCAAGATCCACAAGCTTTCAAAAGCTTAAACTCAAGTTATTAGTAGTAGTTAATTGCCACACTTATTCCAAACTCGCTTATAATTCTTCATCGATGTGGGATTCGAGACGTTATGGCATGGCCAGTACTAGAAAAATAGGTTAGATAAACATATATATTTCAAACTTATAACAATTAATTTAATAAAATTTTAATTCAGACCAAAAGCAATCAGCTAAAATAATGATTAAAATTGACTGGTCAAGTCTTTATAATTCATTTGTCTATGTCATCATCAATCTAGATAAAATAAGCACCTTATATGGTTCAGATAGGTAAAAAGGGCAAATTAGGCCCTATACTTAGCAATTTGTGGGATATCAGTGCCTCAACTCAATTAAGTGGTAAATAAACCCTCAAACTCATCAATTATTGGAAAATTAGCCTTTTTAAACATGTGACATTAGCAAATCATTAGAAACTAATTGTGCATGTGTTTTTGTGGACTGTACTGCAAACTTGACTTTAAATTTCTTATAGGTCTACATGGATTTTTTTGGCAACATGAAAATCTAATTAAAATTATTTAATTACTTTCTTTATTCATTTTTAATACAGTTAATTTAATTTTTTAATTTTTAAACACAAAATTTAAATATTAATTTAATAATTTATATAAATAATAATTTAATTTTTTTTGTCCTTACATATAGTTTTTGTTAATTTTTTTATTTGATTAAAAAAATTTCAATTGTTATTTATATAAATTATTAAATTTTTATTTAAAATTTATATTTTAAAAATTAAAAAATTAAATTAAGTTTATTAAAAATGAACAAATAGAGTACTTAATAAAACTTAGAGTAACAAAAACATCCCATCTTCCTTTTACATGCATCTTTCCCCCTCTAGCCAAATCATATGAGCCACTAAAACAGACCAAATCAACCCAAATCTTAGTTCATCCATTTCAAATGAAAAGAAATATATTAAGATTTAGTTTCAAATCTTCTTAATTTCTCAAGTAATCAAAAACCAAAATGCTTACTCTCGTTTCAATTTCACATTCTTCATTTATGGACATTAAAAACCAAAGATTCAAAAACTCTAGTTTTTAAAAAATTTTTAGTATTTCCCAAGTAACTAAATAACTTACTAACTAAGTAATAACATTAGATGAATAAAGAATATATATTTACAATACATAAAATTAATAAAGACAACACATGTATCAAAATCACAAAAAACAAGTAAAATGAATGAGAACCATGGCTTGAAATTCAAATCCTAAAGTTAATTAGGCACAAGAAGGGGTTAGGGTTTATCGATTGAAATTTTTATGTTTATTGGAGAAGAGGATAGTTTGAATAAAATTTCTTGCTTAATATTTATTTTAGATTTAGTACATATATTCAATATAATATTAAGGTTAATAAATTAGCTAATAAAAAGTGTACGCCATGCCATGCCATGCCATCAATTTGGTCCACGAAATGCCATCTAAGTAGCCATGTCAATATATTGGGCCCACAAAAATGCGACTTAAGTAAACATCACTAAGAGTTAATGATTTGTTGATGTCACAGGTTAAAAACAAGCTAATTTGCCACCCATTAATGAGTTTGAGGATTTGTTTACCACTGAAATGAGTTGGGAGCTAATATGCTACCGATTGCTAAGTATAGGAGCTGATTTGCCCTTCTTTCTGATTTGCATATAGGTATCAACACAATAGTATAACTCCCAAAAAAAAGACGATCAACAAAATATGAGTTTATTTTTTTCAAATCAAAATTGGTCTAGAAGTGAGGCTGCCAATTAATTTGGCACACTACTCATAAGTTTCATATTATAAATGATCTAGATATAGAAAAAGTATATGGACTGACATTGGTTAGCTAATTGCAGGACATATCTGGATATGCCGATATTTTCTTAACCATTTTTGCTCTAGAAAAGTCTATGTAGAGATTATTTGCACAGATGCGATATTGGGCCTACCTATTTGACTATTTCAAATCGAATATTGCCTGTTTAAGTACGCGAAAAAAAATATTGTGGACCATTCTTCCCCCCTACCCTCGCGAGTTTGCCATTTTCTTCCTCTCATTTTCTTTGGTTTTTCTCTCATTTTTGTGCCTTTTCTTTGCTAGCCTTCTTCACCTTCAATCAATGCCAGCCCTCTTCACCTTCAATCATTGCCCATCTACTATGGTTAGTGTTGTTTTTCAATGACTTAGACATTGGATTAGATTTTTTTCTTTTTGAAATTTCAACTTTCTAACAACATTTTTCTTTAGAGTTAACACCTCAAACACCAGAATCTACCTTTTACTGCTTCTATCACCATCGAACAAGTTGGATCTGCAACAAAAATGACTTTTTAATCTATTTCCCTTTTTTTTGGAATTTTTATTGAATATTTGAGAAAATAAATAGTTTAATATTTATTTGTTTATTTTTTTTAATCTAAAACCTTAATGATTTATTTCATAATCTTAAAGAAACTACCTAATACATAGCATAATTTAAGAAATAAACTTATGAAAAGGAACTATAATTATTTATTTGAGTTTTGGCATTAAAACTCAAAGAATTGTAGAACTTGTTGTTTTCTTCTATTTTATCCTCTCAAATCATTGGATCTATATGCAAACAAAACTTCTTGATAATGTTTTATTCTATCATTGTTTAATTGTAATTATAATGTTGAAAGAATATTATAGGAAATATGTAGAAAAAAAATTTTTTAGTTATATTTTAAATAACTAATTTAAAAAAAATTAATGTTATAAAATATATTTTGCATTAATTGTAACTGTTATTTGTTTGATATTGCTTGCTTTGACTTGTATAAATATATTCGTAATTATTTTGCTTGTTAATTTCAATCTATTGTTTATAAGTTAGTTTTAATTAAGAATTTCTTTTTTCATTTTTGCAATGGCATTTTGTGGCTCTTCGAGGTGCATTGATACTATAGATGCATCACAGCCTCAGAGACAACCATCGCCATCTACATTTGATCCACAATGTGAGGGCAAGAAGGAGTAACTAGTTGATGTAGTTCTAGATATTGTTATTGTTGTTGATAATTGTCAAAGTTCTACTAGTGCTGATGATATTGTGTTAGCTGCCTCCTGTAAGAAAAAAGGAGTGGGAAAGTCAAAGCCATTAAAGATGATGACAAATCGTAGAAATATCGTACTCATTTTAGACAGCACTTAAAATATCTTGCATAACATCTCGTGGGATATTGTTGTGCGATTAAAGGATAATTTATCCAATGAATACGTTGTATGAACTTTCATTACCCAAAAGCATTGGAATATATTTTATGTATGACTTATCCTTCCTAATAGCAATTTAAGAATATTATTTCATTCAAAGTTTAGCATTATAGCTTTTTAAATTTAATCTTCTGTTTTCTTCTCAAAAAAAATTTTAATTTGGAGCTTGAGATTGGCGAGAGGGTGCAAGAATTGTTGGAAAATACATGCATCCTTAAATTCAAACATGCTTCAAACACGCTTCAAGTGAGATAACAAAGGACTGTACGGCTACTAACTTTCAGGTGAAGCCAAAAGACATGAATCCTGAGCTTTTTTAAAAGCTTGTGCATATATAGATTGAGGTATTACAATAACTATGTAAAAAATTTCTAATTATTATCTCCTAGTAGTGATACTTATTATTATTTTTTTAATAAAATGTTTGCACCATTTTTCAAGACAAGGAGCACATTAGGCAATCAAATTAAGGGAAAGCAAATAGCAGCAAAGGCCCGAGAGCCACACATACAGTGGTTCAATTGATATTGTTGCATGCACAAAGAAAATGATATAAAACTTAACAATCTTATTTAATGTTTATTAATAAGATATTTATATTATTTTACATTTTTCGTTATATAATTTTATGTTAAATTTTCCATTACAACACACAAGCAAATCCTAAGTGGCAACCCCTTACATTTCCTAAATTGTATACAAGTAAGAGGCAATATCACCCTAAAGAAAAAGATTATTGCAATGATGAGGCTAGTGAAACCAGTGTAGGTATTTAATATTATGAAATATAAATTATGAATTTGGTTATTCACAAGTTTAATTTGGTTGAATAATGTTGTTTGTGATAATTTAAATCGGTTTGTGTATTTTATGTTTGATGGTAACATTGACACTCTTTTTATATTTGGTTGATAAGCCATGAAACATATGAAGGTAACTCCCTTTGCTAAGATGGATAAAAAATTCTCACTTGTGCAGGGATGCCATTAATGATGTCAAGAGCATATGATGAGAATTAACATGACAGCATATGTATGACGTCAAGTGATCCATTACATATTCAAGGAAGTACAATAACAAGAGTTAGGGATAAGAAGATGTGAGAAGTTATAAATATACTTATAGAGTAGATTTATGCTAAAAGCAACACACAACAAGTGAATTGAAGCTTAGAGGATTATCAAGGCTTAATAAATATTATTCAAGTCCAAGAACAACTTATTTGAGGTCATTTAGGTCAAATTGCATAGTTTAGATTGAAATCAGTCAATTTAACATCAAATGCACAATTCTATCACAATATATCATAAACTGATGTTTTGCACTAGTATAAGACGTTTTGCAAAATTTTTAAGATATTTTAGTTAGATTTGTGTTTTTTTTTTAGTTATTTGGGTTGAAAATTATTTTAATTGAAACCCAATTCATTATTTTTATTAGGAATAGCACATATTCAAACCTTGTTTAGGAGTTATGTATATCCAATCCTACTTTTAATTGGATTCGTGCATAGAATCTAGTTTCCTATTTTGATTTGGACTAGTTTAGATATTTAAAGACTTGTAACCCTAATTATTGATTCTAAGTTTATTTAAGAGACTTTTTCTCTTTGTTCATTTACAAACTTACAGAATTTATTAAGATTATTCTTGTGACATTCTAATTCGATTTATCACTCTCGTTCTTATTCTTTCTTGAGTGTGGCGTCAAAAATTCCTTTATATCTTTGGTTCTTGTTTCTATGTAAACAACAGGTCAAGGTTTGTATTTGATAGATTTAACTTAGCTTTTCTTAGGGTTTTGAATTTCCTTGTTATATGTGTAGATCTCATTATGTTGTTTAAGGGTTGCATCAACATAAATTTCAAAATTGGTAACTTAGATGAACAAATCAAAGAGCAAGGGAAGTATATTATGGATATAAAAAACTCCTTGGTTAAGACAAGAGAGTTCATCCTTAAATTGGAGATAACACTGAAGTCAGCAGAGGCATATCCCTACTCACTAAGCCAAGAGAAAGGTTGCTTTAGTTCTAGTGAAGTTACCCTACTGTACCAGATTTGTGTTAATGTTGCCAAGATTTATGACAATTAGCTTGGTCTGTTCCATCCATAAGAAGCTATATTCTTTAGCCCCATTGACATGTACAATTTGTAATAATTGATGTATGAAACATATGTATTATATATATATTGCACTTTCTTTTTTGCAACACTTCCTATCCTTATACAATAATGAAGTAAAGTAGCTTAAGTATATATAAAAATGGATATATGATATATTGAATAAAATAAAAGTATGTTAGATGCACTTACATTTACAAAAGATTGTTGAAGTTTACCCTCTTGGTTGGGATAGACTACAGTGTTGGAGGTAAGGTTATAAAGTGTGAGATATGTGATTGCATAAAACCAAAGTTCAAATGGTAAAAACCTAGTAGTAGTATGGCTTAAATCATTTGGAATTCATGGGGTCTTGTAATAATGCGCTTTCATGAATGTTGAAATTGTAATAACCATTATTATGTTCTTCCACAACAATGGAGTGTCTCATTTCGCAACAAACTAAGATGGGTTAGTGATGTTCTTCTTCACATGGTTATAAGCTTTAAGAATAATCTATTCAACTATGAAAATTTGAGTTTTGACTTTACATTGACTTTATATTGATACAATATGAGGCAAAATATATTAAAAAATAAGAAGCGATTATCTTATATTATATAATTTAAAATAATAAAAAAAGAAGTTTATTATCATGCCTTTGGGTTGAACCCAAATCCAGCCCAACCCATGCATTGGATATGTGTGAATCATGCATGCATGATTGCATTATTAGACACATCAACATCGGCAAAACCTTGTTTTTAGTCTCTTACTTTATCAAATTTGAAGATTTTAATCCTTCACCTTATAGTATGGTATTTTTAACCCCTTATCTTAGTAGATTTATAAGTTTTAACCTCTCATCTTATACTATAATACTTTTAACCCATTACCTATTAAAATTGAAGAAATTAGTCATTACTTTGTAACATTTTATTAGTTTAATTAGTTGATTGTTAATTCTATTAGTTAACTGTTAATTGACTATTATAAAAGTTTTCTTTTAATTAATAGAATTAACAGAACTAATTGTATAATATTTCATTAACTCTGTTAATTAACTATTAATTGACTGTTAGTTGACAAAAATTTACTTTCAGCTAACAAAATTACCAGTTATTATAAAATGAAGATTATTTTTTTTATTTTAATAGATGAAAGAATAAAATCTATGAATCTAGTAAAATGATGAATTAAAAGTGATAAAAGGGTTATTTAACCTTCAAACTTTTGGACTCAAAATAAGTTTTTGCCATCGACATCCACATCGAAAATGAAGACAAAGCTTCAACCCCTAATCTTCCTCAGAGAATCCAATGAATGATGTTATGTATCATTAATTAAACTCTTAATCTAGTAATTAACCCTAAACCCTCCACAAAATCAAACGGACTTAACGACAATTCCGCTCCAACCCACCCAACGAACGATAATAATCACCTAAATATGCCCTCCATCTTTCTCCGTCCTAAAAAAGTTCTCCAACCTTTTCCCAACACTTTCTCGCTCTTTCTCTCCTTCCAAACACTACCTCTCTCTGACACATATCTGCAACTCTGAACAAATTTGTCCCTTTTCTCCGAAAAGTTGTTGGCCTTTCGAATCTAGGCCCCTATTCGATCATGCTTCAGAGCTTAATTCCACAGTCTCCTATCAATCCCAATTGGAACCCTAAACATAGCTCATCCATGAAGACGAAGCGCGTTGACAGGGACGTCGCCGGCGGGGAATCATCTAGTGACGACCCTAGCACCAAGCGCCCCAACGTCTCCGGCGAGAAAACAGTGGATGAACAGGAAGATGTGGTGATTGAAGATGAGTCGACTGGGCTGAGATTACTTGGTCTCCTGCTACAATGTGCCGAGTGCGTAGCCATGGACAACCTACAGGACGCCACGGACCTATTACCTGAAATCTTGGAGCTCTCGTCTCCGTTCGGTTCATCTCCCGAACGCGTCGGCGCGTACTTTGCACACGCGCTTCAGGCACGCGTTGTGAGCCTCTGCCTCAGCACCGACTCTCCGCTCAGTACAAGAAACCTCATCCTAACTCAGTCGCAGAAGATCTTCAGCGCTTTGCAATCTTATAATTCGATTAGTCCTTTGGTTAAATTCTCTCATTTCACCGCCAATCAAGCCATCTTCCAAGCCTTGGATGGCGAGGATCGCATCCATGTCATCGATCTCGACATCATGCAAGGTCTCCAATGGCCAGGATTATTCCACATCCTCGCGAATCGCTCCAAGAAGATCCGGTCCATGAGAATCACTGGCTTCGGTTCATCGGCCGAGCTGCTAGAGTCGACTGGACGGAGACTGGCGGACTTCGCGAGCTCACTTGGTCTACCGTTCGAGTTCCAGCCACTGGAAGGCAAAATCGGAACCATAACGGATCCGAGTCAACTCGGAGTAAGACCGAGCGAGGCGGTTGTGGTACACTGGATGCACCATTGCTTGTACGACATCACCGGAAGCGATTTGGGGACGTTGAAACTGTTGACTTTGCTACGGCCGAAATTGATTACAATCATTGAACAGGACCTGAGCCACCGGGGTGGTTTCCTAGGAAGGTTTGTTGAGGCGCTGCATTATTACAGCGCGTTGTTCGACGCGCTTGGGGACGGATTGGGTATGGACAATCTAGAGAGACATGTGGTGGAACAGCAGCTGTTTGGATGTGAGATAAGGAACATTGTGGCGGTGGGCGGGCCGAAGAGGACAGGGGAGGACAAGGTGGAGAGGTGGGGAGAAGAGCTAAGACGGGTTGGGTTCGTGCCCGTTTCCCTCGGGGGTAACCCGGCGGCCCAGGCTAGTTTGTTGTTAGGAATGTTCCCTTGGAAAGGGTACACTTTGGTAGAAGAAAATGGCTGCTTGAAATTAGGGTGGAAGGATTTGTCTTTGTTGACAGCCTCAGCTTGGAAGCCGTCCGGTTGAATAAAAAACAAAGGAATTTTGTTGATGAAATCATTGGTGGAAATGTTATCTACTTTTTCTTTTTCTTTGTAATAAAAGAACCAGGGAAGAAACATGTATTTTAGAAATTTGTTACATCAAATTTGTTACAATTTTTTTTTCCTCTAATCTCATATGTACTCTTTCCAAGAAGTAAGTGTATATGTAACAGGTTATATTCTTAGCGTCTGCTGATCAGTCGTAAAACACCAGCATAGAATAGGGGAGCCCTCCTCTGCTATCCGGAGCCTCCTTAATTTAATTTTTTGTGTCTTATAATTTTATGCAAAATAATTTTTCTTGATATTTTTAGAAGTATTAATAAGGGTAACTTTTAAAAATAAATAAATAAATAAAGATTGAATTCTCCAAAAAAAGTAATAGGGTTGAAGAAGCCTATTAAACAACTTAGCTTATGCGCTGGATAAAAATAGTATTGCTTGTCATTCATTCGGTTAAAGTTTGAAGGTTCTTAATTTTATTCTCCTCCCCCATTTCTCAAAAATTATAATAATTATATATATAAAAAAAGCAGCCTGTTAAAAGGCATAAATCCTTGATATTTATGCTTAGCATTAGCATCTTCCTAAGCATTTGTCTTTGTGGCATTGATGCAATTTTAGAATTCTTGGGAGTTATGAACAGCTTCTTCGCTATCGAGAAAGTAACAATTAATCCTATTTTATGCTTTGAGGTACATTGGGTGAAAACCATACCACTTTAGGCCAAGAAACTCCTATCTGATCTTGCATCAAGATGAAGGAATATGCATTATACATAGGATTAAAAAATAATAATAATAAAAAAAAAAAAGAAAAAAGAAAAATGGAAAAAGAAACTGAGAAAAGAAGGCATGCTTGTATATATATATTGCAGGGAGATGAAACTAGAAAAACTTATTAATCCAATCGACTCAATACAAACTTGACAATCTAAAACATAAAAAATCAACCGTACTTACTGCGAACAGGCGAAGGATATCAATCAAAACCAATTCCCCAATCAGGCACAAGTCAGAAAGAAAACATAACAAACAAAGCTTTCCTCTGCCGTGCATAATTTATATGTAGAAGGATATGGAAAGCAGAAGAATAATAAAAGTCACTGAGGAGGCTAAACACCAAAGCTAATATCGCTTCCCCAGAATTATGCCAAAGGATAAGGGAAAACAGAAGAACAACAAAAGTCACTGAGGAGGCTGAACACCAAAGCTAATATCGCTTCCCCAGAATTATGCCAAAAATCACAGACACCAATGCCACTCCCAAAATGAACTTTAAGCTTGTCAAGGAAGAAGCCACAGAGTGAGTCTCTAATGAGGATGATGAGGCTTGGGCAGAAGCGGAAGCTGCTTCTAACTTTTTCTTACTCTTTCTTTTTGGAGGAGATGAAACACCTGATCCAAAATCTCGGGACTTTACCTCAACTCCATCCTTCAGTTCTGCCAGACTTCCTCCATCACTCTGCGATGAAAGTCATTTTGGAGTGAGCAACTTCCATATTCAAAGAAATACTCGGCCTCGTACCCAAAAAAAGAGAGAGGAAAAAAAAAAAAAACAAATACTTGGCCTAAATATTTTAGAAATTTGTGGTGGAATGAGTAGTTAAGATTGCCTTTTCATTATTCAAAAAAAAGATCTTTTGCTTTTTGAGCACTAGGCAAATAAACAATATCAAGCTTTCCTTAAACAAGCAAGAAAACTGAGCCATTTGGAGCTGCTTTTTAAAATGGAAACAAATAAAATGGAAAGGGTTTAACCTTCTTAATTCTCATTATTATCAAAAAAAGAGAGAAAACTGAAAGGAAAATAATTGAACTCATAAAGCAGATGATGTCAACTTTTGAAGTTATTTATTTATTGCTTTCTTTGTCCACTTGAGGAGGCTTCCTTTTACATGGTATGAGAGGGACAAGGGAAGAGGCGCAAGAGATATGCTACCTTTGCTTTAGATTCTGCTAATTGCAATCTCTGCTCCAGCTCTTTGACCTGTTGCTCAAGAAGTAAAATTTCTTTATTCTTAGCTTCAAGCTCTTCAACTGAATGCTTCAAAGCCACTTCAAAGTCCAACTCTTGTCGAGATTCTGCTTCTTTCTGTTTTTGAAATTCAAAAAAAGAACAATGGTCACTTTCAAATTCATTCCCATTGATCACTCAATCATGATGGCGTGAAAAGCGTTGAATCCTATGCATCAACAATACTTCCAATTGTGCATACCTCAACTTTTTCTTAACATCTCTGCCAACAATTTAAGGCCTTGAATTTCTTAATCCTTTGAGGGTGTTTGGGAAAGCTTAAAAAGCAATTGCTTTAAAGGGCACTATTCATCTCTCATAAGTTTTAAATTTTATCAGTGGGAAACAAGGAAGTTAGCTTTTTAAGTGGGTTTTAAGCAAGTTTTGAAAAAGCTATACATCCAAGCATTTTCAAAACTTACATAAAACCCACTTTAGAAGACAATTTTTGAATTTTCCTGTAATAAAATTTCAAATTTGTGAGAGATGAATAGTGCTTTTTAAGCATTGCCAAACACCCTCTTTATACTTTTTAAGGATTTACATCAGAAACCTTATAAAGAGCTAATATGGAGAGTGACTCAGAATTTGTATCCAAGAAAAAAATCAAAAGCATGTGCTTATAACTCTCCCTTGAAAATAAGGAGTAAATTTACCCACAAAAATCCATGCATTTGATATCCAAGATGAGCAGTGTAACTTGAAATTAAGTGTTTGGATGAACTAAGATTAATTACATATGGCCAAAAAGCTAAACTACATACTCTTAGTAAGTATTGGTGTCTAACCTGTTCAGCAACAGTTGTCTTAGAAATTTGTAATTCTTTCTGAAGTTGAAGTACTTGTTCATTTAAAATATCTCTATCATGAGCTTTATGTATATGTTCCTCCAATTTTGAAGTTAATTCTGCCTCCCTTGTACACGCAGTAGCCTTGGCACTTTCAACCTATGAGAAGTGAAGGTTGTTAAGATTAATCATAAAAGTTCAAATAAACTTGAAGAAAACTTATAACCAGGATATCATGAAATATTACCTCTTCTTTCAGTTGATTTTCAACTGTCAACAATTGTTCCTCAAGTTCTTTCACACGAGTTTGCAACATGGACTTGGCAGCAATCTCCGCCTTGAGAGTTTGGATCTCCAATTTTAGAGCATCATTATTTCCCTTTTCTTCTTTCAATTTCTCTTCAATCTCTAGTATCACACACTGAAGTTCATTCTTTGTTTTTTGATATGATTCATTAAGCAGGTTATTCTCCTCCAGAAGTGAAGCTATCTGTAGAATCAGAACAGTAAAATAAAGTTACGTAAAGAAAAGGAAAATCATTGTATCAAACTTTTTACTATAAGAGACTAGTAATTTTTGCAACAAACCTGAGCTTCTAACCGCTGCCCTTCAGAAGTAATTTGTTGTGTTAAATCTTCTAAAGTCTTGTTTGAACTCTGAAGTTGTTCAAAAGTTTCATCCCTCTCAGTTATGGCTGCAGACAATTTTCCCTCTAGGTCCCTCAGTTTGGACTCAAATGTTGCCAGTTCCTGAGTCAGCTTCAAATTTGTCCCAGCTAACTCACTGCTCTCCTTCTCAAATTGCCCTGATCTGGATTGCAGTTCCTCAACAAGGCTTTCCAGATTCTTTAATTTCAGAAAACTCTCTTCAAGCTCAATTTGCCGAGTGTCAGCTATAGTTGATGCTTCATGAACTTGGTCTTCATACTTTTTTATTTGTTCTTCAAGGGCATTTAGCTTTTCATTCAAGCCATTGGCTTCTGAATCTCTCACAGTAAATTTTTGAATTGCTGCATGCATCTGTGCTTCTGCTTCTATGATTTGGGCTACAGCCGCAGCTTGAAGTTCTGAGGCTGTTAAGTGCTTCTCTGTTAATTCTTCAATTGTCTTCATGTGAGATTCAACTTGTTTAGCAGCTGCTTCCTTATCTGAAACTGCAGAATTTAGAAGTTCTTCGAGTTCAGCAACCCTGCTTTTCAGTTGAATATTTGTCTCAACTAAAAGTTCATTCTCTGAAAAAGACTGGGACACTTTATTTTCTGCTTCCAGAATTTCTTTTTCAAGTTGTTCATTTCTGGTTTCAAGAGAAGCCAGTTTCATGAAACTCTGATCCAATTCTTCTTTCAAGGAAATGGATTTTCCAGCTGCTTCAGCAACCTGCTCTTCATATGCCTTCACTTGATCTTCAAGAACTTTAATTTTTTCAGACAGAGATTTAGCCTCTGAGTCCCTGTCAGTGAAGTTCGCCATCACTTCTTGGAGTTTAAGCTCTGCATTCCTTGATAGAAATTCATGTAAAGTTTCAAGCTCTGAGTTCTTCGCACTTGCCTGCTCTAATACCTTTCCTTGTTCCTCTAGTTGCTCTTCAGCAGATTTAAGCTTCTCGATTATCTCACTCTCTCTCAAACCTGCGTCCTGAAGATCATTTTCAATGTTCTTCAACTTCTCCTGTGTCAGATTTAATTCATTCCTTAAGACTTCTAATACATTTTCTGCTTCATTAAGCTTCTTATTGGAGCTGTGTGATGCTTCTTCCAACTTCTTCTTCTCATCTGTTGCTACATTCAAGAAATCTGTCAGCTCCCTCTCCTTCTCATTGGCTGTTTGCAGTGCAATTTCAAGGCATGATGCTCTACTTTGGAATGATTCAACTTCAGAAGTTAGTTCAGCTACCTTCTCATTGTATTTTGCAGACTCAGCTTCTGCATCACCACATTTCTTTTCTAATGTGGCTATCTGTTCTTCAAGTTCTTGAATTCTGTATTTCTCAGCTTCAAGCAACAACTCTAATTCACTCACCTTTTTTTCAGCATTCTCTAATTTGGAATGAGATGCCTGGAACAGATCCTCTAGCTCAATGCTGCGCTGATGGTTCATACCAGCTCGGTCCTCGTGTTCAGCACCTTTCTCCACAGCAATCTTCAACTTCTTCTCAAGCTCTGAATTCTGCAAGGATGACTGGTTTAGAGCAGATTCTAGCTCACCTACCTTTACCTGGTATTCTTTCATTTGGTCATTAAGAAATTTTTTCTCTTCCTCAACCTCTGCTGATTTAGCAGAAAGGTCAGATATTTTGTCAGAGAATTCCTTTAGTTCTCTCTCAGCTTCACCTCTTTTTAGTTCCACAAGATTTAATTGTTGTTCAAGCTCTACATTCCTCTGCTCAGATGCTATGAAGCGTGCCTCAAGCACTCTCAGTTGTGATTTTGCTTCTTCTGCTGCATTATTTGAAGCTTGGACTAAATCTTCAAGCTCAAGATTCTTCTGAGTAGCAGTTGCTGCTGCAGCTCCAGATTCATCATGTAGTTCTTCAAGAGACTTTAGTTTCTTTTTGAGCTCTTCATTGTTAGACAAAGCCTGTGACAATAATGAATCAGTTCTGCCAAAATTCTCATCTGAAAGCTCTAGTTTTCCTTCAAGATCCCTACATAACTTTGTCATGTGTCCTGCCTTACTAGTAAGATCAGCCACAGCTGTTTCAAGAGCTTCTTTTTCTTTGGATACTCTACTGAAATCTTCCTGAAGAGTTGAGAACTGCTCTTCCTGCACTCTTGACACAGCTTCAGCTAATTCCCTAGCTTTGACTTCCCCTTGCAACTTCAACTTGATATCTTCCAACTCAGAAAGCTTTGCTTCAAGATCTTGTTTGGTCTCAGCAAAAAGATTCTCAAGAGCTGAGAAATCTTCCTTCACCTTGGATTCTGAAGCACTTTGCATATCCAGTTCCTGAGTCAGTTCACTTATAAGATCTTCTTTTGAACTGAGTCTTTGTTGCAGGTCCAACACCAGTGATTTGGATTGTGTCAATTCTTCCTGGACAGAACAAAGTTCCGCATTAGTGTGCTTAAGTGTTTCTTCAATCTTCTCATTTTCAGCAATCTTGTCATACAAGCCTTTGAGTTCTTCTTGCAAGGAGGCCATTTGATCTTCCATTTCTTTTGCACCAAGTTTTGCAGATTCAAGCAACCTTTCAAACTCCAAAGCCCTCTGTGTCTCAGACTCAGCATGTGATCCACTTTGTTTGTGAAGTTCCTCAAATTTCCTTGCCTCTCCAATAGAACATTGTAGCTCATGTTCCAACTCTTGCATCCTCTTTCTTGAGGTTTCAAACTCGAGGTTGAGACCATCAAAAGCTTCCTTTACTTGAATTAGCTCCTTCTGTTTTACTTCTTGAGCTTGCAATGCCTCTTGCAAATTGTTGAGCTGTGCAGCATATTTCTCCTCAGCTTCAATCGTCTGCTCTTGCAATTTCTTGTGACTGGCTTCAAGCTCCTCATACTTGTTTGCATTTTCCTCTAGCTTCTCCTTTGAAAGCCAAAGTTCATCCTTGAGCTTATCGTTTTCAGATTCAGAATGCTTTAATGCTCCAGCTACCCTTTCTAGTTCAAACTCAAGTTCCTTTGTCTTCTCTAGGGCTTCAAGTAACTCCCTGCTCGAATTGCCAAAGGCTAAGCATCTTTCAATGATGGGCTTTTCATCCTCCTTAGCTTCTGGTTTAGCATGATCAGAAGCATCTTTGATATCTAGTAATTCCTTGTCAACTTTTATGAAATCTCCACCCAATGTGGTTTCTTCATCATCTTTCTTCGCTTCTTTTTCCACAGGTGGCAGGTCTCCATTTGTTTCCTGACAACAACCAATCAAATTCAAATATGCTTAATTGATTTCAAACAGACATTGGTACAGAATTGGAGCAAAGAAATTCCTGAATTCTGAATAGTTAATTTGGAATTTCAATTCTTGTACTCAAGTTATATTCAGTTTTGTAACAGTGTGCCAATTTCACAATTGGAATAAAAGCCCACTGTTCTGGAAGGCAAATAGAAAATGTTAAAGAGCATACCTTAACCTTAACAGGCTTGTCAATGCTTTCAGAGTCCTCAACAACAACCTTCTTAACAGGGATTTCACTGCTCACTACTGTCTCTTCTTCCATTTTTTAAAAATTAAAATGCTCTCAAGTCTTAAGACCTGTTTCCCTGCTCACAATCAAACTTCCAGAATTTAGAATTAATAAATCAACCACAGCTCATTCAGCGATGTTGTTGTTTTTTATTTTTATTTTTGAAAACTAATTCAATATACTACCATAATAATAAAAAAAAAAGAAATCTACATTACTAATAAGATCTTTTTGAGTTTTTTATAAATTTTGCAACTCTAAAAAATTGTTTATTTTCACGTGTTTCATTTAAAAAATAAGAACAAAAATAGTTTGAATATTATTAAATAAGAGAATGTTTTTAGTTGCTAGCATTAAAATTTATTTTAAATAGATTTTTAATTTTTGAATTTTAATTTTAGTTTTCAATAATTATAAAATTTATAAAAACCAAAATTAAAGCCCTAAAACTACAATTATATTAAATCGAGACTCAATTTTCTACTTTATTAATTCAATTAGCCAATCTGTCATTGTAACAGGATTTCATTTGATCCGAGATTTTTTGTCCATTATACATCCTTTTTTTTATTCTTAACCTAAACAGGGTTTCTGATATGTAAAATTTTCTACCCAAGAAAATCACAAAGAAACAACAAAAAAATAAAAGAAAGAAATATAATTCATATTTTTGGAAAGGACAAAAAAATAATACTAGCAATTTATACATGTAATTGTAGAAGAATCATGTGATTAGAAATCACCTAAGAATATCAATCATGTAAGATCCACTTACTCTGTGGGTCCCTAACATACCAAATAATTGATTTTTCTTCGTCTTCTGACAAAATAAAAAAAATAAAAGAAAATGTTCCCTTAAATTTAAATCAAGCCAGCATTAACATTCTGGACCGATCTCTCACGTGAGATAGACGGGCCGGGAGCGGGAACTCACGTGACGGTACCAAAATGAAGAAAAATTCAAAATACAGAAGGAAAAGTATGCATAGTTTTTATTTTTATACCTTTCTCGGCCTTTTGCCTGAGATCAAGTATGCATAGTTTTTTGTGGGGGCTGGCCCACAAAAGTGGGCACGCCATCACTTTAGCGTCATTTTGTGGGGGTGACAGCTCAATCTCTAATAAAGACTTCCCCTTAGAGGCTAAAGGTATATATCTTCTTTCAATTTTGGACTACAATTCCTGCCGACAATCACGGTTATAAATTTCAATTCTAATTGACATTCAGCTCATGTTTGGCTCAGTTTTAAAGTGGTTGAGCTTTTTTTATATTATTTATATTTTATAAATTTAA